TTATTTTAGTTTATTACTTCTCGAAAAATGATTGTATAAATTTAAAGGGTGACAACTGACAAATGACATTATGACACATATATATTCTCTAATGATGTATCATTATGCATGTAACTGATCCACTTTTTATTATAATATTTTATTGATTCAAACCATTTCTATTTAGTACTTAATTCAATGATTATTAATTTTGTAAAATTGTTTTTTTAAATTAACATACAAATATACTCTGTATGTTCCATCAGTCTAAAACATTTTTTGTCATTATTAGAAACTAAAACAACTAAAATTATATTCATAAAATCTCAAAAGTTTAGAATATATACGAGCCCGTGCGAAGCACGGGGTAAACACTAATTATTTTAAAAATAGAAACAAATATATAAAAGGAAATGGATTTTTATGGGCACGTTTATTTAATAGAGCATTAATTTTATTTCGTATATATAAAAAAACACCAAGGTTCAAATGACATTGAACCTTAATGTCATAGGATGACCCGGGGCCGCTCCGGTGCCCCGTTCGTAAAATTGACGGTTCCTACCCCCCTAACCCCCCGGTAAACCCCCCCGGCCCCGACCCGAACACACCCCCCACCCCCTTCAATTGCACCCCACAAGTTGATTTTGACTTTGGAGTCAAAATTTGACTTGTGGGGTGCAATTGAAGGGGGTGGGGGGTGTGTTCGGGTCGGGGCCGGGGTGGGGGCTTTACCGGGGGGTTAGGAGGGTAGGAACCGTCAATTTTACGAACGGGGGACCGGAGTGGCCCCGAGTCATCCTATGACGTTAAGGTTCAATGTCATTTGAACCTTGGTGCCCTCTCCTCCCTCAAATTTATTTTTTAAAACAAGTGTGACTGAGGTCTGAGGAGTATTTCGAAATTGGAAAAGGGGTTTGTGCATAATTGCATATTTGCAGGTGGTCTCCCGGTCCGCCATTTTCATGGCCGGTAAATAGGCGCACTTTCTGGTATTCCATCTTTCATTCCCAGTAAAACCCTGAACCCTACTCCTCCTATAGCATTGGAAAATGTTCTCTCCGGGAACGAGGAAAGCTAACTTCACGGCAAGGAAGAGCGGCCGCGAAAGGTCAGCTGCCGATTCGCCGGTGACGCCTCTGGTCGAGAGCCGGAGGTCTCACCTTGGTAACGATGTTCTTAATCGCCCTAGCACCGGCACTCCTGCTCCATGGGCTTCTCGTCTTTCTGTTCTCGCCAGGTACACGCGATCACGAGTGCTATTTTTTGGTCGGCCTTTCTATGCATTTTGCTGGAAGCCTTTCTGAAATGAAGTTATTCAAGTGATTCTAGATTCGGGGAGCTTTATATACAGATTTAATTAGGTTTGGCATTCCGTGATATTTGTATGACATACTCCATGTATTGTAGTTGGGATAGGGTTAGAGTAAATACCAGCAATATGCTTCGTGTATTGTGGAGATAGATTGCAGAAAGCTTTTTGGCTGATTATTGATAGCCATTTTCATTTTCTTTTTGTAGAATTCCTCCTACAAAGAAAAGTGATAAGGAGAATGAGGCCGATCAAGTGAAGCCTGTATTTGTTGGAGAATTTCCCCAACTCTTACGTGATGAACAAGCTGCTGTGCTTCAAAGCCGTGCTTCTGGTTAGTGAAGTTTGCTGATTTGTGTCCTCTTTAGTGCTGAATTTCAAACTCCAAGGGCTTAATAAGGTTGTCTTAAAAGGCAAAAATGTTCACCTAGGTGTCGTGTGCATCCCACCACAAGACATGTTGAAAGGAGTTGATTCACTGTACCGCGCAGCTTCTTGGGTGGGAGGCTTAATAACAAACCATAGTCTTTGTTCCAATTCTGCCACATTGTGTTACTTGTATAATTCCGTGGGGAAAATGGGGAAGGGGGAAACCGTGCCAATGAGTTGAGTTGAGGTAAGAATGTTTGTGTTTTCATGTCACATCACCTTCATCTGCTCTTTTTTTCCAGGCAAAGCAGCACACTCTGGTGGAATGGATAAGGAAACTCAGCTGGCTTGGATTATCTGTGGAAGCAAACTCTTTATTTGGAGTTACTTAGCTTCAGCTGCTTCTAAGAACTGTGTTGTCCTCAAACTCCCTTCTACCGGAAATGATGATAAAGGGCATTCTCATAGTTCTGATAAATGGTTAGTCAGTGTTGTCAATTGGAATAGCAAGCAAGATACAAATGAAGTTGTTCCACATTGCTGTTCAGTTGGTGTTATTGCATGTGATAAAAAAAGTCGAACTCTTTTATACTGGTCAGACATATTCTCTGATGCTGTGACTCAGCCAATTGTTAGTTATGATGATCATGAGGATGTGGGAGTGACTCTCTCTCCTGTATATACTAATGCCACGTCATATAACCTGAAGAAGACAAATAAGCATAGCGGCAGTTCAACATTAAGCACCATAAATTCTTTGATTTCTTCTGCTATACCAGAGGGCCGTCAAAATCGTGCATGTGTTGCCCTTGCTTGCAGCTCTAGTGGTGAGCTTTGGCAATATCTATGCAGCTCTACTGGTGTCCAACGCAAAAGGATTTATCAGAATATATCTCAAGAAGAAGATGGTGGCTACTTTGTTGGAGGCCAGGGGTATCCAAGGTCATTGGTCTGGCATTTTCTGCCGCGTTCTGATAAACCTAACAAACAATTTCTTTTGTTAACAGACCGTGAAATTCAGTGCTTTTCAATTGAACCTTCTCCCAATCATATGGTCTCAAAGATCTGGTCTCATGAAATAATTGGTACTGACAGTGATCTGGGAATCCAGAAGGATTTGGCTGGCCAGAAGCGTATATGGCCTCTTGATTTGCAAGTTGATAATGAGGGAAAGGTTATTACCATTCTTATCGCAATCTTTTGCAAGGACCGGGTTAACAGTTCAAGTTACACTGAATATTCGCTACTAACAATGCAATTTAAATCTGGAGTTGAT